ACTATGGTCACAGCTGCCAGGAGACTGGCTAGGCCACTCTAGGACCTTAATGTGCTTCTTCTTGAGCCACTCCTTTGTTGCCCCATTGACAAGATCCTCCCGTGTAGTTCTGGGCTGATTCCTCACCGTTCTCATGATCCTTGATCACTCCACGAGGTGAGATCTTGCATGGAGCCCCAGGCCGAGGGAGATTGACAGTTATTTTGTGTTTCTTCCATTTGCGAATAATCGCACCAACTGTTGTCACCTTCTCACCAAGCTGCTTGGCGATGGTCTTGTAGCCCATTCCAGCCTTGTGTAGGTCTACAATCTTGTCCCTGACATCCTTGGAGAGCTCTATGGTCTTGGCCATGGTGGAGAGTTTGGAATCTGATTGATTGATTGCTTCTGTGGACAGGTGTCTTTTATACAGGTAACAAACTGAGATTAGGAGCACTCCCTTTAAGAGTGTGCTCCTAATCTCAGCTCGTTACCTGTATAAAATACACCTGGGAGCCAGAAATCTTTCTGATTGAGAGGGGGTCAAATACTTATTTCCCTCATTAAAATGCAAATCAATATATAATATTTTTGACATGCGTTTCTATAGATTTTTTGGTTGTTATTCTGTATCTCACTGTTCAAATAAACCTACCATTAAAATTATAGACTGATCATTTCTTTGTCAGTGGGAAAACGTACAAAATCAGCAGGGGATCAAATACTTTTTTCCCTCACTGTATATAGCCTGGAAAACAGCATCAGACCAGGCAGGCAGGAAGGTTTTGAGGTGTGTGTGACTTCAAAATGCATCTCCCCCCTCCTGCTTGACGTAATCATTGATCCTATTCCAACAGGATAACAGCTACTCGTCTTATCCACCAGCCTGGGTACGAGGTTAGCCCACTACAGTATGCAATTGAATCCTTGTTTATTACAACTCTGTTGGGATCAGTGAAGAGAATAAGGAAGGTTGCATGTTACAAGTGTTCAAACAGGTCCATTTCCCTCATTGCCTGAAGTGCAGGTAAAGGCAGGACAGTCCAGACACTACACTAATCTATAGTGGCTTGAATAGGCGCTGCACCTCACACAGACAACCGAATCGTGTTCAGGAGAGTTCAGCCACATACTGGACATTGCAGATATAAATGCCATAAATAGATCTGAAATTATGCCTTACTATGCATGTCAAAGAGGCATGTCAAAGAGGCATGTCAGTTCTACACAATATAAACTCAGCAAAAAAATAAACGTCCCTTATTCAGGACTCTGTCTTTCAAAGATAATTCATAAAAATCCAAATAACTTCACAGATCTTCATCGTAAAGGGTTTAAACACTGTTTCCCATGCTTGTTCAATGAACCATAAACAATTAATGAACATTCACCTGTGGAACGGTCGTTAAGACACTAACAGCTTACAGACGGTAGGCAATTAAGGTCACAGTTATGAAAACTTAGGGCACTAAAGAGGCCTTTCTACTGACTCTGAAAAACAATAAAAGAAAGATGACCAGGGTCCCTGCTCATCTGTGTTAATGTGCCTTAGCCATGCTGCAAGGAGGCATGAGGACTGCAGATGTGGCCAGGGCAATAAATTGCAATGTCCGTACTGTGAGACGCCTAAGACAGCGCTGCAGGGAGACAGGACGGACAGCTGATCATCCTCGCAGTGGCATACCACGTGTAACAACAACTGCACAGGATCGGTACATCCGAACATCACACCTGCTGGATAGGTACAGGATGGCAACAACAACTGCCCGAGTTACACCAGGAACGCACAATCCCTCCATCAGTGCTCAGACTGTTCGCAATAGGCTGAGAGAGGCTGGACTGAGGGCTTGTAGGCCTGTTGTAAGGCAGGTCCTCACCAGACATCACCGGCAACAACGTCGCCTGTGGGCACAAACCCACCGTCACTGGACCAGACAGGACTGGCAAAATGTGCTCTTCACTGACGAGTCACGGTTTTGTCTCACCAGGGGTGATGGTCGGATTTCAAGTGATCCCAAACACTATCTCTTGAAATGCTTCTTACGAAGCCACTCCTTCGTTGCCAGGGCGGTGTGTTTGGGATCATTGTCATGCTGAAAGACCCAGCCACGTTTCATCTTCAATGCCCTTGCTGATGGAAGGAGGTTTTCACTCAAAATCTCACGGTTCATGGCCCCATTCATTCTTTCCTTTACACGGATCAGTCGTCCTGGTCCCTTTGCAGAAAAACAGCCCCAAAGCATGATGTTTCCACCCCCATGCTTCACAGTAGGTATGGTGTTCTTTGGATGCAACTCAGCATTCTTTGTCCTCCAAACACGACGAGTTGAGTTTTTACCAAAAAGTTCTATTTTGGTTTCATCTGACCATATGACACTCTAGCAAACTTCAGACGGGCCTGGACATGTACTGGCTTAAGCAGGGGGACACGTCTGGCACTGCATGATTTGATTCCCTGGCGGCGTAGTGTGTTACTGATGGTAGGCTTTGTTACTTTGGTCCCAGCTCTCTGCAGGTCATTCACTAGGTCCCCCCGTGTGGTTCTGGGATTTTTGCTCACCGTTCTTGTGATCTTTTTGACCCCACGGGGTGAGATCTTGCGTGGAGCCCCAGATCAAGGGAGATTATCAGTGGTCTTGTATGTCTTCCATTTCCTAATAATTGCTCCCACAGTTGATTTCTTCAAACCAAGCTGCTTACCTATTGCAGATTCAGTCTTCCCAGCCTGGTGCAGGTCTACAATTCTGTTTCTGGTGTCTTTTGACAGCTCTTTGGTCTTAGCCATAGTGGAGTTTGGAGTGTGACTGTTTGAGGTTGTGGACAGGTGTCTTTTATACTGATAACAAGTTCAAACAGGTGCCATTAATACAGGTAACGAGTGGAGGACAGAGGAGCCTCTTTAAGAAGAAGTTACAGGTCTGTGAGAGCCAGAAATCTTGCTTGTTTGTAGGTGACCAAATACTTATTTTCCACCATAATTTGCAAATAAATTCATTACAAATCCTACAATGTGATTTTCTGGATTTTTTTTTCTCAATTTGTCTGTCATAGTTGACGTGTACCTATGATGAAAATTACAGGCCTCTCTCATCTTTTTAAGTGGGAGAACTTGCACAATTGGTGGCTGACTAAATACTTTTTTTCCCCACTGTATGCATCTGTTGGTCACAGATACTTTTTTTTTTTAAGTAGGGGCGTGAATCTGTAAGTCAATAATAGAATCTGTTCCACATTGAGTGAGGCGGGTTGCAGGAAAGTATATTTTGTAGAAGGATGAAAAGTCTGATAGGGAAATATGTACAAAAAAAAAAAAAAAAAAAAGGGTATTTACAGGCTATTTACAGACACACGACAAAAACAGGACTGCACTGCTACGCCATCTTGGATATATACTATTAGGCTACTGTGTTATCGTGACTACTGTGCTGTATGACTGTGGGGCTAATTCAGCCAGCCTAAAAAATACTATTAGCGTGACATTTCTGCAGAACTGAAACTCTTCAGTAAGTGGGAAATGAAACCCATAGGCCTACCCATATGCTGTTGGGGGCCGTTCTCACTCTTAGAATTTTACTTCTCTAGTACTCCTCACACTGCCGGAGCGTCTGGCTCGAGAAGATGAAGATGATTTCCGTGCTTTTTAACGCTCTCGTGCTGCTGTCGGCGTTGGGCCGAACTGGGGCAAGAAACCGAACAACATCATCGCCCTATACAACCCCTTCAGGTACAGTATTCAAATACGCACACACACCCTAGCTAGCAGATTTTGTTCCTTGGAAGTTGTGGGAAGGTAGGTTTTTGGTTTCCCATTGGTTCTGAGATCGAAGCCATACGTTTCCTGACCGTCATTTTTATTTTTTTATTTAACATTCTGAGAACATCTGGGAACATACATTTTTAGGTTGCAGGGAGGTTCCGAGAATGTTTTTCTATGTTTCCCTGAAAGTTTTCCTCTGAGGTTTTATTAACATTCTGATAATGGAAATTATAGGTTATTTGAAGGTAATTAAATAACGTTCTGAGAGCTTTTAATAACTCTGTTATAGCTTAGTTTAACCGTTTCGAACTCCAAGCACAGATAGAACACGTGGAAATTAATTTGCTTAGGCATTAATCATGCAAACACATTTAATTTTGTATTGCTGCATGGCGTCAGTGAGATTCAAACCTATGATCTTCTGCTCTCTATCCATGGAATGAGTCCACTGCGCCACCAGGATGGAGCTAGCATACCATGTTTTTTTTAACTCATACTAAGCTGTTAATTTTAGTCTATTCAAACAGACCATATTTCAAAAGACTCATTAAGATCAGGTGTGGCCAATTAGCGGACGCGGCCAACACACCTGAACACACTTGCAACATTCTCATGAAACGTGTCTAGAACATTAATATCTTATATTCTGAGAACATGGCAACCATGTTCTGTGTATGTTTGGTGGGACGTTGATGGAATATTCTCCTTACCCACAGAAAACTGGACACATGAATGTTCTTGCAACATTCTTATTTAATGTGTCTAGAACATTAATATCTTATATTCTGAGAACATGGCAACCATGTTCTGTGTATGTTTGGTGGGACGTTGATGGAATATTCTCCTAACCCACTGAACTAGACATTTGAATGTACTTGCAATGTTCCCATGAAACGTGCCTAGAACATTAATATCTTATGTTCTGAGAACATGGTAACCACGTTCTGGGTAAGTTCTATTTGACATTAAGGGAATGGTCTCTTAGAAACATTATTTGCACCTCACAGGAACATTTCTATGTAAAATAGAACGTTCTCTAATGTTGTGGGAATGTTTGTTGTCTGGGCACCTGCATGCATACACACACACAGCCACCGATACTACAGAGGTTAGGTCTGGGTTCTTTGAAGAATTCTGGGACAAATTACTTTTATAATGGGGCTATACATAATGTTGGATTGATTGATGGATTAGTTGATTGATTGATTGATTGATTGATTCTCTGCCCCCCGCCCCAGGCCCCACCACAGACCTGCGTGGTCGAATGTTTACAGTGTCGAACGGCGGGGGATTCACCATGTACACACACGTGGTCTCTCCCTACTCCTCTCCCTCCCCCACTGCCTACACCTCTCCTTCTCCTTCCACTTCTCCTTCACCCTCCTCTCCATACACCTCATATCCCTACACTACATCCTCTCCCCCTCTCTCTGCTCTGACTGTGTGTCTGCGTTACATGGCCGAGGAGGACTTTAGTCCTAATTTCTTCAGACTCACTCAGGGGTACAACTGGAACCTATTACTGGAAAGGCGTAACGGGCAGGACCGCCTATCCACCCCTTACTCCCGCCAGTCCTTCAGCACCTACAGGCTGTTCTCGAAGTACATCACAGACATGGAGCCCCGCCCCTGGACCAGCCTGTGTGTTACTTGGGAAACAGAGACGGGTGTGGCCCAGGTGTGGAGGGGCGGTACTGTCAGCGTCAGGAAGAGAGTGCTTGGCCAGGTAAGAGGAGAGAGTGGAGAGACAGGGAAGAGAACAAAGAGGGGGGGACGGGGGAAAGGAGAGTGGGGTAGACAGGTGGAGGGGGAGGATAGGTGAGAGAGAGGGAGATATACAGTGCCTTCAAAAAGTATTCACACCCCTTGACTTTTTCCACATTTTGTTGAGTTAGAAATTGGGATTCAAATGGATGTAATTGTCTTTTTTTTCAACAATCTACAGAAAATACTCTGTAATGTCAAAGATTAATGAAAAATAACATGTTAGAATCACCTTTGGCATTGAATACAGCTGAGTGTCTTTTTGGATAAATCTCTAAGAGCTTTGCACACCTGGATTGTACAATATTTGTCCATTATAATTTTTTAACTCTTCAAGCTCTGTCAAGTTGGTTGTTGATCATTGCTAGAGAGCCATTTTCATGTCTTGCCATAGATTATCAAGCTGATTTAAGTCAAAACTGTAGCTAGGCCACACAGGAACATTCAATGTAGTCATGGTAAGCAACTCCAGTGTATATTTGGCCTTGAATTTTAGGTTATTATCCTGCTGAAAGGTGAATTTGTCTCTCAGTATCTGTTGGAAAGCAGATTGAACCAGGTTTCCCGCTACGATTTTGCCTGTGCTTAGCTCTATTCCATTTATTTTTATGAACAACAAAAAAACTCACTAGTCTTTGCCGATGACGAGCATATCCATAACATGATGCAGCCACCACCATGCTTGAAAATACGATGAGTGGTACTCAGTGATGTGTTGTTTTGTATTTGCCCCAAACATAATGCTTTGTATTCAGGACAAAAAGTAAATTTCTTTGCCACATTTTTTGCAGTGTTACTTTAGTGCCTTATTGCAAACAGGATGCATGTTTTGGAATATTTTTTTTCTGTGTACAGACTTCCTTCCTATTCTGTACAGACTACAATGATGTTGATCCATCCTTAGTTTTCTCCTATCACAGACATCAAACTCTGTAACTGTTTTAAAGTCACCATTGGCCTAGTGGTGAAATCGCTGAGTGGTTTCCTTCCTCTCCGACAACTGACTTAGGAAGGATGCCTGTATCTTTGTAGTGACTGGGTGTATTGATACACCATCCAAAGCGTAATGAATAACTTCACCATGCTCAAAGGGATGGTCAGTGTCTGCTTTTTATTTTATTTTGACCCATCTACCAATAGGTGCCCTTCTTTGCGAGGCATTGGAAAACCTCACTGGTCTTTGTGCTTGAATCTGTGCTTGAAATTCAATACATGACTGAGGCCACTGTGTTCTTGGGGACCTTCAATGCTGCAGACATTTTCTGGTACCCTTCCCCAGATCTGTGCCTCGATACAATCCTGTCTCGGTGCTCTATGGACAATTCCTTCGACCTCATGGCTTGGTTTTTGCTCTGACATGCACTGTCAACTGTGGGACCTTATATAGACAGGTGTGTGCCTTTCCAAATAATGTCCAATCAATTTAATTTACCACAGGTAGACTCCAATAAAGTTTTAGAAACATCTCAAGGATGATAAATGGAAACAGGATGCACCTGAGCTCAATTTCAAGTCTCATAGCAAAGGGTCTGAATACTTACGTAAATAAAGTATTTCTGTTTTTTTATAAATTTGCAAACATTTCTAAAAACTAGTTTGCACTTAATCATTATGGGGTATTGTGTGTGAATTGCTGAGGATATTTAAAAAAAATCAATTTTAGAATAAGGCTGTAACGTAAGAAAATGTGAAAAAAGTCAAGGGGTCTGAATACGTTCCGAAGGCACTGTAATTGTATGTGTGGGGTACAGAGATGGGGTAATCATTAAAAAATCATTATTATTGCAAACAGAGTCCATGCAACTTATTATATTACTTGTTAAGCAAATGTTTACTCCTGGATGTATTAGGCTTGCCATAACAAAGGGGTTGAATACTTATTGACTCAAGACATTTCAGCTTAAAATGTTTTATTAATTTGTGAAAATGTCTACAAAAACATTCCACTTTGACATTGTGGGATATTGTGTATAGATCAGTGGCACAAAAGTTCAATTTAATCAATTTAAAATTCAGGCTGTAACACAACAAAATGTGGAAAAAGTCAAGGGGTGTGAATACTTTCTGAAGGCACCGTAAGTGCACCGCAGCTGGCCCTGTGCCTCTTAGCGTGAGTCGTGGGTAGTAAGGAAAGGCAGAAGACACATTTCAGTATTTCTCAAAAATACTCCTGAGTATTTCCTGAAGTAATTCAGCAAAATGTAGACAATGAGTGTGTGCATTTGTCAAATTTTATTCTAATGATTGTATTTGTATGTGTGTGTAGATGACCAGTGAACCTCCTGTCCTGAACGTGTATCAGTTTGAGGGCCAGGTAACTGACGTGGAAATGTGGGACAGAGTCCTCTCCTCGAGCTGGATACTGGACTACATGTCTGGGTGGCTTTACAACCCAAGCTACTCCCACTACACCCCTGGTAACCTGCTGACCTGGTCCAAGGCCATCTACTCCACCACTGGAGACGTCCTCCTGGAGGGAAACACCTACAACTCTGACCATCAGCCTATCAGAGGTCAGCACCAACCCCCAGGACCAATGAGAGGGAAGAGAAAGAGGACGTGTTTGAAGGGAGGGCGCAGAGAGAGAGGGCGTGGCTTTAGGGGAGAGTAGTGATTGCCACTAACCCTTATTTTAGATTAGAAGATGCCTATAAAAGGTCTACACACCTTTGAACTTTTCACATTCAGCTTTTTGCCACATGGCTACAGAATCTCCCTACTATTTTTTTGCATACTTCAAACGGGATTCAAAGTGGGCTTTCTTGAGTAATGGCTTCCTTCTTGCCACCCTACCATACATGCCAGATTTGTAGAGTGCTTGGGATACTGTTGTCAAATGCAGACTTTGATCAGTCTTGGTCATAAAAGCCTGTTGCTCTTTCAAAGTTGCCATTGGACTCTTGGTAGCCTCTCTGATCAGTCTCCTACTTGCTCGGGCATCCAGTTTGGAGGGACAGCCTAGGCCGGGTCTTGGTGGTGCCATACACCTTCTACTTCTTAGTAATTGTCTTGACCGTGCTCCAAGGGATAATCAAGGCCTTTTAAATATTTTTATATCCATCCCCTGATCTGTGCCTTTCCACAACTTTTTCCCGGAGTTCTTTTTTAAAGCTTTGGTGCTCATGGTTGAATGTCTGCTTTTCAATTCACTACCCAGCAAAGGAAAACTACAGGAACTGCTGAATCTATCTTGAAATCATGTGAATCACTACAATTTAACACAGGTGGAGGCCAATTAACTTTGTGTGTGATGTTGAAGGTGATTGGTTACACCTGAGCTAATTTAGGATTGCTATTACAAGGGGAGTGGACACTTATCCAACCAAGATATTTCCATTTTTATTTTATAAATCCTGAGTGTTTTTATCACTTGGTAGTTGTGTGGTAGGATGTGTAGATCAATAATAAGGATCTACACATAATAAGGCAACAAAAGGTGAAAACATTGAAAGGGGGTGTAGACTTTCTATAGGCACTGTATGTCCTAACGATGCTCCCTGGATGTTAGTTGTGTATCGCTAAATTACTCAATTCTGATTCTAATAGATTTACTATGTCTGTTCTGATTGTCCTCAAATATAGTCCTTCGCTAGCGGATGATATAAAATATTTTTTAAGGATTTAAATGATTACTACATGATTTAAATGATTGTTAAGCACTTAAATTAAAAGCAATTGATGATATATATGTTTTGATTTTTGTAGGAGTATGGTCTGTGAAACCGTCGCTTTGGCAAGGTTAATACTGAAATGTTGCCATGTCACAACACAGCCTCAGCCAGGTGTGAAAGTTGGGGTGGGGCGGGTGGGTCAATATTAGAAACAGTTCAATTTGACCCCCCCCAATAATATACCATGATTAGTTTGATTGATTAGAAAACATTTCCCCACTGTAAAGTGCCAGGCAATTACTGGTTTTGTGTGGCTTTGCGCCACAGTGACTCAGTTCCTCATTTTTGATTGGATCCCCCCGCCATCAAATACGTTTTGGTTGCGCCCGGTCCCCAGAGGCAGTCGGCCTGTTCATGCTGTGGTAAGCGCAGCAATGCGCACACGTCAGTAGGCCTATAGGCTGCGTGCAAATGTTCCAAAATGCAATTAACAGGAATACACCATTCTAGAAAGCGCACAGCATATGCGAGCAGTTTCATATGAAAGATATGAAAATATCCATTAGAAATTTTGAAAGAAGGGAGGTCTAAAGATGCAACAACTAGCATGGGTTGCTAATATGACTAGGATTGTGTCTTTGGCAGCTGGACAATGAAAGAAAGTGGATTTGAAAATCATTAGAACAAATGCTAGTTTCAATGGCATAAGGAAGTGTTTATAAGTTTTATACTTCGAAACAAGGTACAGGTACAGTGGGGAAAAAAAGTATTTAGTCAGCCACCAATTGTGCAAGTTCTCCCACTTAAAAAGATGAGAGAGGCCTGTAATTTTCATCATAGGTACACGTCAACTATGACAGACAAATTGAGGAAAAAAATTCCAGAAAATCACATTGTAGGATTTTTAATGAATTTATTTGCAAATTATGGTGGAAAATAAGTATTTGGTCACCTACAAACAAGCAAGATTTCTGGCTCTCACAGACCTGTAACTTCTTCTTTAAGAGGCTCCTCTGTCCTCCACTCGTTACCTGTATTAATGTCACCTGTTTGAACTTGTTATCAGTATAAAAGACACCTGTCCACAACCTCAAACAGTCACACTCCAAACTCCACTATGGCCAAGACCAAAGAGCTGTCAAAGGACACCAGAAACAAAATTGTAGACCTGCACCAGGCTGGGAAAACTGAATCTGCAATAGGTAAGCAGCTTGGTTTGAATAAATCAACTGTGGGAGCAATTATTAGGAAATGGAAGACATACAAGACCACTGATAATCTCCCTCGATCTGGGGCTCCACGCAAGATCTCACCCCGTGGGGTCAAAATGATCACAAGAACGGTGAGCAAAAATCCCAGAACCACACGGGGGGACCTAGTGAATGACCTGCAGAGAGCTGGGACCAAAGTAACAAAGCCTACCATCAGTAACACACTACGCCGCCAGGGACTCAAATCCTGCAGTGCCAGACGTGTCCCCCTGCTTAAGCCAGCCGTCTGAAGTTTGCTAGAGTGCATTTGGATGATCCAGAAGAGGATTGGGAGAATGTCATATAGTCAGATGAAACCAAAATATAACTTTTTGGTAAAAACTCAACTCGTCGTGTTTGGAGGACAAAGTTGCATCCGAAGAACACCATACCTACTGTGAAGCATGGGGGTGGAAACATCATGCTTTGGGGCTGTTTTTCTGCAAAAGGACCAGGACGACTGATCCGTGTAAAGGAAAGAATAAATGGGGCCATGTATCGTGAGATTTTGAGTGAAAACCTCCTTCCATCAGCAAGGGCATTGAAGATGAAACGTGGCTGGGTCTTTCAGCATGACAATGATCCCAAACACACCGCCCGGGCAACGAAGGAGTGGCTTCGTAAGAAGCATTTCAAGGTCCTGGAGTGGCCTAGCCAGTCTCCAGATCTCAACCCCATAGAAAATCTTTGGAGGGAGTTGAAAGTCCGTGTTGCCCAGCGACAGCCCCAAAACATCACTGCTCTAGAGGAGATCTGCATGGAGGAATGGGCCAAAATACCAGCAACAGTGTGTGAAAACCTTGTAAAGACTTACAGAAAACGTTTGACCTGTGTCATTGCCAACAAAGGGTATATAACAAAGTATTGAGAAACTTTTGTTATTGACCAAATACTTATTTTCCACCATAATTTTCAAATAAATTCATTAAAAATCCTACAATGTGATTTTCTGGATTTTTTTCTTCTCATTTTGTCTGTCATAGTTGACATGTACCTATGATGAAAATTACAGGCCTCTCTCATCTTTTTAAGTGGGAGAACATGCACAATTGGTGGCTGACTAAATACTTTTTTCCCCCACTGTAACTGCCAATATAAAGGAAACACCAACATAAAGTGTCTTAATAGGGCATTGGGCCACCACGAGCCACCAAAACAGCTTGAATGCTCCTTGGCATAGATACTTCCCACGGGGGGCCAATATGAAAATGTATGCACTCACTAACTGTAAGTCGCTCTGGATAAGAGCGTCTGCTAAATGACTAAAATGTAAATGTAAATCTACAAGTGGAACTCTATTGGAGTAGTAACTATTTCAGTAGTACTCTTATTAGCCTTTTAAATCACTGTGAATGACCTAGGTCCTAGAGTAGACCCATGTTGGCATATCAAAACATAACAATTAAAGTATTTTAATTTGGGTTGGTTCATCTTCAGTTTGGGATGGTCAAAATTGCACTTCGGGACAAAAAAGTTCCAAACACTCCAATGCATGAAAGATGAAAGTTTAAAACAAGTAAAAGTTCATGAACATTTCATAAATGTATTCCTATGTTGTTGTGTAACTAGCAAACTATTGGTGATGCGATAATATTGTATAAAAATAGTTTTATACTGAGTGATGCAATGCTAGGTTGGCTATTTTAGCTAGGCTAACGTTAGCTAGCTAAGCTAGCATCAAAGCTAGCAAAATATCTGGATATTTCCATTTTCAACTGCAGTTTCAGATGAGCAACCTAGTGAAAAAGTAGCTAGTGCACTTAAAGGGAGGGTAGCACCTATTTCTCAATGCCAGAAATGCATATAATAGTAACTTAGAGCACACCAAGAAAACATTCCCAAATTACAAACTTTGAAATAAATTGTTATGTTATAAATGTTGTTCTAAAAGTTGGGTTTGAGGTTTTTTCCAAATCAGCTCTAACTCTGGAAACAATCCCACAATGACACGCGGTCAGGGTCACACGGGGAATGAAAAACTTCGTAAAAAGTTAGATACGTTTTTGAGAATTAAGCAGGCAAATTGGGCGTCTACTTGTCAATCTGCAGGGCACATTTAATCCCTGAGAACTTCCACATCTATCAACAATGGAAGGAGGGCTTCAGCAAGAAGTTGCTTCTCAATGTGGATGCTGTCCCTACCATCAATGTTGCTTCTAAAGCATCTCAAACAGCCAGCAGCACCAGCAGGCTTCAGTGAGCATGGAAGTGAGCAGAGTTATGGACTCGAGTCACATGACTTGGACTCGCGTCTGCCTCAAGTCACAAATTTGATGACATGAGACTCTACTTGATAGAAAATAAAATAACTTGAGACTTGACTTGGCGCCTCAAGACTCATGACTCGACTTTGACTTGAGACTGATGACTTGAAATGATCTGGCCAGGTTTTGTCACTCATTTTGTGGCACAGAGTCTGTGGATTACTCTACATGCAGCCAGACTGTAGCCGCAGCATCACCCTTGCAAAAAAAAGCAATTGGCTAGTGAAATGCAATCTATGTACTCTGATTGGACCAGCAAACTGTCAATCAACACAGGTCGGGTGAGCTAGCAAACAGATTGCTGATTTGCTGTACAGCTATAGGATCGGGTGCAGCGCAAACATCAAATTGTAGGAAGAGAGGATTGCCATAATAAATAAATAAATATGCAGCTCCAAAGAATTTTGGTGATCAAAAATGCTAACTGTTTACTTTGCAAGCTAGCTCACCCGACCTGTGTTGATTGACAGTTTGCTGGTCCAATCA